CTATAAGGATCCCTCTTATTGTCACACCCACTGTCCCTCCCCATCCCTAACCCCCTGGCAACCACTTATTCTCCATCTCTAAAATTTTCTTATTTCCTGAATGTTAAGGGACACCTGAGTGGCTCAGTCGGTTAAGCGTCTGCCTTCAGCTCAGGTCATGATCCCAGGGCTCTAGGATCAAGTCCCACATTGAGCTCCCTGCTCCGAGGGGATCCTGCTTCACCCTCTGCCTGCCACTCCCCCTGTTTGTGCATTCTCTCTCGTGCTCTCTCTCTCTCTGACAAATAAAATCTTAAAAAAAAAAAATCTCTGCCTTTAAAAAAAAAAGTAAATGGAATCATACAATATGTAAGCTTAAGCTAACGGGATTGGCTCTTCTCACTCAGCATAATGCTGTTGTCATCCGTCCGAGTTGTTGCATGCATCAATAGTTTGTTCCTTTGTAAAGTTGAGTAGTAGTTCATGGTATGGGTGTACCACTCCTTGAAGGATATCTAGTTGTTTCCAGTTGTTTGCTATTACAAGTAAGGGTGCTGTGGACATTCAGGTACAGGCTTTAGTGTGGACATAATTCTCATTTCTCTGTGATAAATGCCCAAGAGCACAATGGCAGTTGCATGTTTAGTTTTTTTAAGAGACTGCCACATGATTTTCTAGAGTCTGTACTGTTTTACATGTCCACCACCAGTGTATGAGTGATACCGTTTCTCTGCATCGTCACCAACATTTGGTGTTGTCATTCTTTTTCATTTTAGTTATTCTGATAGATATGTAGTAGTATTCCCTCATGGTTTTAATTTGTATTTCCCTAATGGGTAATAATGTCGAGCATCTTTCCATGTGTATATTTGCCATCTGTGTATCTTCTTTGGCAAAGTGTCTGTGTCTTTTGCCCATTTTCTAATTGGATTGTTTTGAGTTTTTTTACTGTTGTATATTTGAGAGTTCTTTATATATTTTAGATGCAAGTCCTTTCTTAGATGATGGCTTATAAATGTTTTCTCCCAGCCTGTAGTTTGTTTCTTCATTCTCTTAACAGGGTCTTTCACAAAGTTTTAAATTTTCATAATACTTGTTTTATCAATTTTATGGATCATGCTTTTGGTGTCAAGAATGCTTTGCCTAGCTCTAGAGCCCCAAGATTTTCTCTTACGTTTTTTCCTAAGCTTTTTATAGTTTTATATTTTACATTTAAGTCTGTGGTCTATTTTAAGTTAATTTGTATATATAAGATGTGAGGTTTAGACAGAGGTTCATTTTCTTGCCTATGGATGTCCAGTTGCTCCAACACCATTTGTTCTTCCTTCATTCAGCTGGCTTTTGCAACTTTTCCAAAAAGCAGTTGTCTGTACTTATGTGGGCCTGTTTTTAGGTTTTCTATTTTATCCCATTGGTCTTTATGTGTGTCCCTCTGCCAGTATTACACAGTTTTGATTAATGTGGCTACATAGTAGACCTTAAAATTGAGTAGAATGATTCCTCCCACTTACCTTGTCAGGATAGTCTGAGCTATTCTAGGGCCCATGCCTTTCTGTACTAACTTTAGGATAAGCTTGTCTATGTCAATAAAAACTTGCTGGGAGTTGCATTAACCCTATAGATCATTAAACCTATAATGGGGAAAATTGACATTTTTACTATGAACACGGTATATCTCCATTTATTAAGTCTTACTTGAACTCTTTCATCATCATTTTGTAATTTTCAGCATGTAGATCCTGAACATGTTTCTGCTGTTTCTTTTCTGGAGGAGGGGGGTGATTATAAATTGTGTTCTGCTCTTAGTTTTGATTTTCAAATATTCGTTGTTAGCATATAGAAATGCAGTTTATTTTTGTGTGTTGATCTTTTATCTGGTCACCTTGCTGAACTCATTGTTCTTGGAGGGTTTTTTGTAGATTTCTTGGGAATTTCAAGGTAGACTATCATGTCATCTGCAAAAAGGGAAGTTTTATTCTTTTCTTTCTAATCTGTATATTTTTTCTTCTTATTTATTTATTGCTTTATTGCAATGGCTAGAACTTCAGTGTTACGTTATTTGAGAGTGGTGAGAAAGAACATCATTGCCATGTTCCCAGTCTGAGGCAAAGTATTCAGTCTTTCATTATTTTTAATGTTATTTTCATTCAAATTCTTACTTTATTTACTGGATTTGTAACTAATAGGTGTTCTGAAAACTTAGTTAATGGTTGTAAAGGACTTAGGACAGTGCCTGTCACATAGTAAGTGCTCAGTAAATATTAGTTATTGTATTATTATTGCTCCATATGTATGAGCAGCCTTGTTCCAAAACTCAGTATTTAAGGTCCCAAGAACATACTACCTAAGCCATATGGGAATACAATCCATATTTGCCACTTTTACCTGTTCGGTGGCTTCCCAGTTAAAGGGAAACAAACTTAATTTGTAGGACTTCTACCTCTATTCCCATTCCAGTAAACCTTAAAAGGGCGGGGGGGGTGGGGAAGTCATAGCTCATCTTTTGTTCCCTCCTTCCCTACTCCCAGGTCTCTCCCTCCCACTTAGCTTCAGAAATATCCTCTAGTCAACTCAGGTCTTTCATTATTAAGTATATTATCGTGGGTTTTTTTTTAAGGTTTTTATTTATTTATTTGACACAGAGCGCTCACAAGCAGGGGGAGCAGCTGACAGAGGGAGAGGGAGAAGCAGGCTCCCTGCTGAGCAGAGAGCCTGATGTGGGGCTCGATCCCAGGACCTGGAGATCATGACCCAAGCTGAAGGCAGACACTTAACCAACTGAGCCACCCAGGTGCCCCTATTAAGTATTTTGTTAACTGTAGGTTTTTGTAGGTGTTCTTTATGAAGCTCAAGAGGTTCCCTTCTTTTCCTAGTTTGTTGAGAGTTTTTATCATGAATGGATTTGCATGTTGGACTTTGTCAGGTGCATTTTCTGCATCAATTGATAGGATCATATGATTTTTCTTAGCTTATTGATATGGTAGGGATTTGTGAATAGTGAACCAGCCTTGCACACCAACAGTGATGATTCTTTTTATATATTTTTTAATTCAACTTGTTAGTACTTTGTTGAGCATTTGTGCATCCAAGTTCATGGGAAATGAATGTCTGTAGTTTTGTTTTTTATGCTCTCTTTTGTCTGGCTTTGATATATATGAGGCAATCCTGGCCTCATAAAGTGAGTTGGGAAATGTTTCTTCCTCTTCTATTTTCTGGAAATAACTGTAAATTGATGTTAATTCTTCTTTAAGTGTTTGGTAGCATTCTCCACTGAGATCATCTGGCTTTGGAGATTTCTTGTTTTGGGTGCTTAGGTATGAATTTTGTTACTGTAATAGAACTCTTTAGATTATTTTATTTTGGCTGAGTTGTTAGTTTGTGGTTTTTGAAGAATTGGTCTGCTCTAAGTTGTTGAAGTTATTGTTAGCATTCTCTTATTATCCTTCCAGTGGCTATACATGTGTTGTAATATCCCATGTCATTCTTGATATTGGTGATTTGTGTTTTCTCTCTTTTTGTGTTTGCCAGTCTTGCTAGAAGTTTGTCGATTTTATTCATTTTTTGAAAGAACCAGTTTTTTAATTTAATTTTCTCTCTCATTTTCCTATTTTTCTCTTTTATTGATTTTTAATCTTTATTATTTCCTTACTTCAGCCTTGCTTCTGGTTTAATTTGCTCTTTTTCTAGGTTCTTGAGGTCAGAATTTTGATTATCGATTTCTTTCCTCTTTTCCAATATAAGCATTTAGTGCTATGAAGTTTCCTCTCAACACTATTTTAGCCATATCCTCACATATTTTTTTCTAAGATTTTTTTTTTTTCAAAGATTTTATTTATTTATTTGAGAGCGAGAATGAGAGAGAGAGAGCATGAGAGTGGGGAGGGTCAGAGGGAGAAGCAGACTCCCTGCCGAGCAGGGAGCCCGATGCGGGACTCGATCCCGGGACTCCAGGATCATGACCTGAGCCGAAGGCAGTCGCTTAACCAACTGAGCCACCCAGGCGCCCCTTTTTCTAAGATTTTTAAATTTATTTTAGAGAGAGAGTGCACAGGTTGGGGGAGGGACAGAAGGAGAGGGGAAGAATCCCAGGCAGATGCCCTGCTGAGCCGGGAGCCCAACACAGGGCTCGATCTCACAACCCTGAGGTCATGACCTGAGCCGAAATCGAGTCGGCCACTCAACCGACTGATCCACCCAAGTACCTCTCTCCCACTTATTTTAATATGTTAGGTATTTATTTTTAGTCAGTGCTTTGTATTTTTTTTTAAATGTCCTTCTCTTTGACCTGAGGGTTATCTGGAATTGGGTTGCTTAATTTCCATGTATTTAGAGACTTCTTTCTATTTTGATGTTTAGTATCATTCCATATGGTCAGAGAACATACTCTGTACAGTTTCAGTTTTTAAGATTTGCTTTTTGGCCCAGGATATGGCTCATTTTAAAACACCAGATTTTTCGGAATTCTAGAGCGCTACCCACTCATCGCTACCTCATCCTGCCTCAACACCTCAGCTACAGCTCACAATGCTTGGCTGTCACAGGCAGACAAAAAGAGGCCCAGCGCAGCCTTCTGACGGCTCTGAGTTGGTGACAGAACTGGACCTTGAGCCCCCAGAGCCCTGCCTACCTAGGCCAGGAACCTGGTTCATCTCCCCAAGAGCCTTGGCCATCCGTGACCCTTCCCATGACACGTGATGAACACACAATGAGGCTGAGGATAGGGCTGGGCAGGTACGGAGGAGCAGCCAGTCCAGGCCCTGTGCCCCCTGCACCGTCAGCTCTTTCTAATGGGGTGGTGAGTGAGGAGGGGCAACTCAGATGCCTAAGAAGCTTAGGCCCAAATCTCGGAGACGACACCGGGCTGTTGCCCCCCTCACACAGGTCCGCCGGGCGGCCCGTTCCCACTTTTGCAAACAGTCCAAGCGCAAAGCCAAGAGCTGTCAGGGCCGCCGCCGCCACAATAGTGTATACGGGGTTGCCAGCCAGGTGCCAGCAGTTGCCACCTCGTCTCCTTCCTACAGGACTTACAAGAACAGTGAGGAACTTCGGTCTCGCATTGTGTCTGGAATCATCACACCTATCCATGAGCCCTGGGACAAGGCTAGCGTCAGCAGTCCCCACCAGGAGTTTCCGCCTGCCACTGCCAGAGAGGTGGACCCCCTCCGGATTCAGCCACAGCACCCACACACGAGCCGGCAGCCTCCCTGGTGAGTACAGAACCCCTGGCGGGCAGCCAGCCCGTGCTTCTACCGGATTCTAGCCATAGCCATCCTGCCACCTGGTCCCCTCTCTGGCCTCCATGTGTCTGCAACAGATTGTCAGAGTCTTGGTGGATGGAGACGTAAGTGGAGCAGTGAGTTCTGGTGCGACTCCTAGTCACCCTAACTACCCAGCTTCTTCGGGTTGCCGGGGCCAGGGCTAGGCATTTCAGGGAAATGCAGATGCAGAAGTACCTTCCCAGAGGGGATGTAGGCCAACTGTCTTGTCTGTTTCATTTCATTCATGGTAGTCACCTAACCTCGTTGACAACTTCAGAACTTTTCCAAAACAGCATGGGGTATGAGCATGTCTCATCCAGGATCTTAGCAGGTTAGGGTGGCAGCATCTACGACAGGAGACTCTCGTGCTCTGAGAAAAGAGACAAGAACCAGCGGAAGACCTTAGTCTCTGGCTGAGACAGCGCTTCCCAATTTGGAGTCCCCAGTGTGGTAGTAATTGGGGACTGGGGGCTCACTGTGGGGTCATAATAAGCACTCAGTAAGTGTTCACTACCCTGTTTTGCAGTTCTATATCTTTGATTAGTTAAAAAAAAATGGGAAATTAATTTATTACAATAAATAACAATTGGTAAGTCTCTTTGGCACTCTTTGGAAATCCTATGGGGAGATTGAATAATAAAAAGTAGTTGAAGGGTTGGGAACAGCTTGTCTGATCTAACCTCCTTATTTTATAGACAGGAACAGAGGTAAGATGACCTGCCTGAGGTCACCAGCCACTAATAAAGAGGCAGGGCCAGGGCTGCAGTTCACGTGTCAAATCCCAGTGCAGTGTTCTGGCTGTGATGTAGCCAGAATATGGTGGTAAGACTGAAGAACAAGCACTGGACAGCAATCAAAGGGGTTGGGGTGGATTTTTACACTTTAAGTAGATAGTAATTCTCAGCTCTTTCAGACTCAATGCCCATGTCAAAACAAATATTCTGTGAAATCTCCTTTACTTCTCTTGAAATGAAATTCATAGATAATCTAATTGGAAGCATACTTCAAAAGGAATCAGTATAAAGTCCTAACTATCATATAAATGAGAAATAGAGAGTAATTAATAAGATAATGTCTATTTGATTGTGTAGATGCCTGAGCACAGTTACACTGGAAAATTTAGTCAGACACTTGGGCTTGTGTATGGAATTATGTTGAATTTGACAATAACAAAAGCTGCCATATACAGATGTATTGGAGCAAAACTCAAATAGTATAAACTATATTGCTGTTACTAACGTGACTTTTCAGAAATGATGAACAGTTCTTAGGAGAATGGCAAACAAAACATTAGATGGACAGTGTCTCATTAGACTTGGGTAATTTATGAAGGCTTTACACCTCCCTGAATACCTAACAAGACTTTGAAAGTTGTGTGGGATGCAGGTCATTCTTCTAATGTAGAAATAATTATGTAGAACGTGCGAGTCTCTGGCATCTGCCTCAAGTGCTGTGAGGACCCTCCAACCAGGTGGCAAGCAAAAATCCCCCCAGGGCTTCCACAGTGGCACCTGGAGGCTCTGCCACCCTAACTGGGAATCAGACCTGGAGTTTATAATTATGAAGATTAAAATTCTTAGCCTTGGAAGAACCGAAAGAATCAAAAATAACCATGTCGCAACTTCTCCTGAAATAATGTACCTAGGCACAAATCGTCAATGTTTGCTAAAACCCTTAGGTAATAGGTTGATGGAGAACTTTATAATGAATAGATCAGGCTGCTATGCTAGCACCTGAGCCCATAGATCAATCTTAACACTAAAAATGGGATAGCCAGACATTAAGTGTCTTCTAATATGATGCAGTCGTAATTACACAGCAGCCTGGATGTAGATATAACTCCCAGATTAAAAGAAGCATGAAGGATAGAAGAATGAGTTAAAATAGACACATGAGGATACATGTATTCCAGCCAAAACTGGAACATGAAAATTTTTTACAGGATAAATTAACCCTGTTTTCATTTTCAAATAAATGAATGGCATGAGGAAAAAAGGGAGAGTGGGGCTGTTATTAAAAGAGTTATGTCAACTAAATACAGTGTTGGACCTTGTTTGGATCTGTGGAGCCCTGATACCAAAACCAAAGACCTCACAAGAAAGCTACAAACCAGTATCCCTTTTGAATATAGATTTTAAAATCCTCAACAAAATACTGGCAAAACAAATCCAGCAACGTGGAAAAAGGATTATATACCATGACCAAAAGAAATTTATCCCAGAAGTAGTTGGTTTTACATCTGAAAATAAGTTAGTGTAACATACCACATTCATAGAACAAAGGACAAAAACCACATGTTCATTTCAACAGAGAAAAAGCATTTGACAAAATCCAACACCCTTTCATGATAAAAGGATTTAGCAATAGGAGTTTCTTAACTCAATAAATAGCATCTGCAGAAAGCCCACAGCTAATATCCTACTTAATGGAGAAAGACCAGATGCTTTCCCCCTAAGATCAGGAACAAAACAAGAATGTCTGCTCTTGTTACTTTCATACAACATCATACTTGAGATTCTAGCCAGGACAATCACTTGAGAAAAAGGAAAAGTATCTAGATTAAAAAGGAAGATGTAAAACAAACTGTTTGCCAATTACATGAGATCCTCGTATATAGGATATCTGAAGGAACCTTCTAAAAAAAAGCTTTTAAAATAAACAAGTTCAGCAATGTGACAGGATACATGATCAAAAAACACAAAAATCAGTTGTATTTCTGTACATTAGCAATGAACAATCTGAAAATTAAGGAAATGATCCCATTTATAATAACCCCCCCCCCAAAGAGAAAATACTTAAGAGTAAATTGAACAGAAGTTAACTTGTACACTGAAAACCAACAAAACATTTTTGAAATTAAGATCTAAATAATGGAAAGACATCCTGTGTTTATAGATAGGAAGATTTAATATTGGCAATATTCTCCAAATTGATCTACATATTTAATGCAGTCCCAATCCCAGAGTTTCTTGTTCGCAGGTTTTTTGTTTCCTGGGGTTTTGGTTTTTGTTTTCAGAAATTGTCAAGCTGATCCTAAAATGCATATGGAAATGCAAGAGAACCAGAATAACTAAAGCAATTTTGAAAAAGAAAAAAGAAGACGCACACTTTCCAATTTCAAAAGTTACTACAAAGCTACAGTAATCAAGACAGTGTGGTACTAGAATAAGGACAGACATATAAAGCCAAGGGAATAGAATTAAGATCCAGAAATAAACCCATACATCCATGGGCAATTGATTTCAACAAGCGCGCCAAGACAATTCAATGGGGAAACAATAGTCTTTTCAAATGGTGCTGGAACAGCTCTATATCCACAGGCAAAAGAATGCAGTTGGACCCCTTCCTCACACAGAAATTGACTTAAAATGGATCATAGACCTAGGCATAAGAGAACTATAACACTCCTAGAAGAAAACAGGAATAAATCTTCATGACCTTGACAGTAGTTTCTTAGATACAACACCAAAAGCACAAATTGGACTTTGTCAAAATTAAAACCTTTTGTGCATCAAAGGACAGTCAAGAAAGTGAAAAGATAACCCACAGAATGGGAGAGAGCATTTACAAATCATAGTTGATAATAGACTTGTATCCAGAATGCATAACCCTCACAACTCAGTAATAAAAAGACAACCCAATTTAAAAATGGTTCAATTGACCCATGAGCATGTGAAAAGATGCTCAACATCATTAATCATTAGGGAAATGGAACTCCAAACCACAGTGAAATAGTACTTGTTTGTGCACATAATCACGTACAACTTCTGTACGTGAATGTCCATGGTATTATTAATACTAGCCAAAAAGTGGAAACAACCTAAATATCCATCAGCCGATGATCAAATACACAAAGTGACAGATGCATACAGTTGAATGTTACTCAGCAGTAAAAAAAGGATGAAGTACTGATGGATGTCACAACTTGTGTGAACCTTGAAAACATTTTACTAAGTGAGAGGAGATATGTATTGTATGATTTTATGTGAATTGTCCAGAATAGGCAAATCCATAGAGACAGAAAGTAGATTAGTCATTGCCAGGAACTGAGGTGGAGGGATTGGTGGGCACGAATAGGGAATGACTGCTAATGGGTACAGGGTTTCTTTTTGGGGTGAGAAAATGTTCTAACTAGAATATTTGCACACTCTATGAACATCTAAAGACCATTGCACTGTATATTTTAACTGGATGAATTTTATAATATGTGAAATATATCTCAAACTGTAAAAGAAAAAAAAAAAAGCTCCTAGCCTTGGCTTTATTGGAAATGTGAACATATAACAAAGAAATGAGGTCCCTGAGTTCAGACTATAAGAGATTGCTCATGATTGAGACTTTGATGTCTTTCCTTCAACTAGAGAGTAGTTTGTTAGTACCTAAGTGGTATTTTATGGGTTCATCATCATACCAGCAGAAGTGATTTATTTAAAATTAGCTGCTGAATGCTTTCCCCCTTAGAAACAAGGTATAGGTATCCACTCTTCACCACTCTTACTCAGCGTAGTACCGAACATTTTGCTATCACATTAAGACAAGAAATAAAAGGGATACAGATAAGAGAGGAAGAAATAAAACAGTTCATGTTTGCAGATGACATAATGGTCAAGATAGGAAATCCCAAGGAATCTACCAAATAATAGCAGTAACAACAGTAATAATAATGAGTTCAGCAACGGTACCAGCCCAGGGCTCAGAACGAATGTGAGCTGGTAACACAAATGGGATCACAGATTTAAATGTGAAACTTAATGCTACAACACTTTAGAACTCACAGGAGAAAATCTTCTGAATCTAGGGCTTGCTGAAGCGTTCGCAGGACACTAAAAGCACAATCTTTAACAGAAAGACATGGTTAAATTGTACTTCATCAAAATTAAAAATGTTTTGCTCTGTGAAAGACCCTGTTAGGAGAATGAGAACATAAACTACAGGCTGGGAGAAAATGT